CAGCTTTTCCCGGTGATCCCGGCTGCATTCCCGTGGGTGGCACCGCTCCCGGGTGGGGACAAGGAGCCACCCGCGGTGCCACCAACGTGTGGCACCTGCAGCTGCCACCAGCGCTGAGTCAGAGCCTCGTGGCCGGAATTCCATCCCAAATGCGGCGCTGGCTCCGGGGGCGGCCCTTGCTGTTTTCCCACCACATGATGAGGGGGTGGCAGTGCCACCCACGGGGACACGGGGACGGGTCCCCGCTGGGGTTGGGATGTGCCTGGGAAAAGAAGATCCTCGTTGTTTTTCCGGGGTTTTTCAAGGGATAAATCCCAGAATGGGGGGGAAAAAAAAGAGCTTGGGGCTCATCCTGATTCCTTGGGCACTCCACAGAAAATTTGGGGATTTCAGCCCAGCCGGGAATTCCTTCCCAAAATCCCACCTCAAATGTCCCCATTCCGTGTGTCCTTGTCCCCAGTCCCTCTCCAGCTCTCCTCGAGCCCCTTCAGGCTCTGGAAGGTTCTCCCTGGATCCTTTTGCAGCTCTTTGGGATGATCCCAGCCCCTGGGGGGATTTTGGGATCCTGGCCCCGGATGTTTTTTCCCTCAGGGATCGTTCCCAGCTCGCTCCCTTCCCAAAATGGATTTTTCCAAGGCTCTGAAGGGCTCTGCTTTTTGTCATGACAGCGGAAAAATTCCATGGGAAGAGGCGCTCCTGCCTTTTCCAGGGACAGCTGGAAAACCTCTCCCTGCTCCTGTGACATACACGGGTCCTTATTGCCAGCATTTTGTCCCAAAATTCCATATTTTTCCTGCCTTTTTTTTGGGGGCAAAATCATCCTGTTTGTTACCTTTTCCTGATTTATTTCTGGAATTGTTCCTATTAGTTCCTAAATTATCTCCTGTTTGTTATTTCCTGCATTTTTTAGGGCACAAATCCCTTCCCCCCACAGGGATTTTACAGAGGGAATGTTTAGGATTTTACAATTCCCCCTCTCCAGGTGCTGTCCCCACCTTCCTGGGGACTCTCCAGTGTCCCTTGTCCCCAAGGGAGGGGGGTGACAATGGCAACCCCAGCCGTGGTGTCACCCCATATCCCGCTTTTCCAGGTGGGATTCCTGAAGATCCTACACAAGTACGAGATCACCTTCCTGCTGCCCCCCGTGCCGAGCCTGGGGAAGGACATTTGTCCCCTCCCTGTCCCCAACCCCAACCTGCGCATCATCAGTGTCACCTCCCTGCCAGAAGGTACCGTGTCCCCTCCTTGTCCCCAGCGTCCCCATCCTGTACCCGGCCCTTTTCCAAAGGGGGCACACCCAGGTGTCCCCTCAGTGTCTCGGGGAGGTGACAATTCCTTGTCCTCAGGGACGTCCCCGATGTCCCCAAACTCCGTTATTTTGTTGTTGTTGGGATTTGTTGGGATTGTTTGTTTGTTGGGATTTTCCTGTCCCGGGGGTGTCTGTGGGTCAGGGGGCTCCAGACACAAGGGACAGGGACAAGGATTGCTCCAGGAGGTGCCACCCACCACTTTGGGGACAATTGGGGCTGAGATCAAGGCCAGAATCAGGACCGGGATTGGAGGCAGGAGCTGGGATTGGGACCAGGATTAAGGCCGGAATCAGGAGTGGGACAAGGACCAGGATCGGGAATGGGACTAGGATTGGAATTGGGATTGAGATTGGAGCCAGGATTGGTATTGGAGCCAGGATTGGGATTGGAGCTGGGATCGGGATTGGAGCTGGGATCGGGATTGGAGCTGGGATTGAGATTGGAGCCAGGATTGGTATTGGAGCCAGGATTGGGATTGGAGCTGGGATCAGGGCCAGGGCCTCTCCGGAGCAGGGAAAGGAGCCGTGGGGAACTCGTGAGTGGCAGGGGGACAGGCAGGGCAGGGAGGGGACAGGGACAGGCAGGGCAGGGAGGGGACAGGGACAGGCAGGGCAGGGAGGGTACCGGAAGGTGCAGGGAGGGGCACAGAGGGTAAGGAGGGCACAGGCAGTGTGAGGAAGGTGCAGGCAGGGTGAGGAGGGCACAGGCAGGACAGGAAGGGTTTAGGGAGGGCAGGGAAAGTTCTGGAAGGTGCAGGCAGGGTGAGGAGGGCACAGGCAGGACAGGAAGGGTTTAGGGAGGGCAGGCAAAATTCTGGAAGGTGCAGGCAGGGTGACGAGGGCGCAGGCAGGGTGAGGAAGGTGCAGGCAGGATGAGGAGGGCACAGGCAGGATGAGGAGGGCACAGGCTGGCACAGGCAGGGTGAGAAGGGCTCAGGCTGGCACAGGCAGGGTGAGAAGGGCACAGGCTGGCACAGGCAGGGTGAGGAGGAGCTGGGATCAGGGCCAGGGCCTCTCCAGAGCAGGGAAAGGAGCCGTGGGGAACCCGTGAGTGGCAGGGGGACAGGCAGGGCAGGGAGGGGACAGGGACAGGCAGGGCAGGGAGGGGACAGGGACAGGCAGGGCAGGGAGAGTTCAGGAAGGTGCAGGGAGGGGCACAGGGGGTAAGGAGGGCACAGGCAGCGTGAGGAAGGTGCAGACAGGGTGACAAGGGCACAGGCAGGGTGAGGAAGTTACAGGCAGGATGAGGAGGGCTCAGGCTGGCACAGGCAGGGTGAGGAGGGCTCAGGCTGGCACAGGCAGGGTGAGGAGGGCACAGGCAGGGTGAGGAGGGCACAGATTGTCACGGGCAGGGTGAGAAGGGCACAGGCTGGCACAGGCAGGGTGAGGAGGGCACAGGCAGGATGAGGAGGGCACAGGCTGGCACGGACAGGGTGAGGAGGGCACAGGCAGGCACAGGCAGGGTGAGGAGGGCTCAGGCAAGGTGAGGAGGGCTCAGGCAAGGTGAGGAGGGCTCAGGCAAGGTGAGGAGGGCTCAGGCAAGGTGAGGAGGGCTCAGGCAAGGTGAGGAGGGCTCAGGCAAGGTGAGGAGGGCTCAGGCAAGGTGAGGAGGGCTCAGGCAAGGTGAGGAGGGCTCAGGCAAGGTGAGGAGGGCTCAGGCAAGGTGAGGAGGGCTCAGGCAAGGTGAGGAGGGCTCAGGCAAGGTGAGGAGGGCTCAGGCAAGGTGAGGAGGGCTCAGGCAAGGTGAGGAGGGCTCAGGCAGCTCTCGGCAGCTCTCGGTGTCCCGCTGCCAGGGCACAGCGTGCGCTGCGAGTACATGGCGCACAAGGAGGGCGTGCTGAAGGAGGAGCTGCTCCTGGCCGGACACAGCCGTGGCCAAGTCAAGGTCACCGTCCAGGCCCGGGTCATGGGTAAGGGGCTCGGCTCTGGGGGGGTTCTGGGGTCCCTTCCTGTCCCGTCCCCACCCCCCCAGGCCACACTCTTCCCAGTTGTCCCAGTTCAGGCATGGCGCTGTCCCAGCTCCGGGGCACTGCTAAGGGATTGCCCAAAATGGGAGATTTCATCCCAAAAATTCTCCAGCCTGGGGGTTGAAGAGAGCCCTGGGTAGGGATGAGGGGAGGGGGTGGGGGGTGACACCAATGTCCCCGGGGCCCTTGTGCCTGGCTGCGTCCCCCCTTTGTCCCTGGGACCCTCCTCTTGTCCCTGGGATGTCCCCCTGTCCCTGGCACCCCTTTGTCATCGGGACCCCCCAATCCCTGGGACCCTCCCTATAAACCTCAACACCCCCTTGCTCCCCGTGTCCCCCACCCCACATCCCAGCCACCCCCAGCCCCCTGAGGTTGTCACCACCCCTGGGCAGTGACCACAGCGGTGACACAAAGGACAACACATCCCCCACCCACCCAGCCCCAGCATTGGGCCTAAAACCCCCCCAAACCCCTTAAAAAGGGGCGTTCCCACCCCCCACAAAGGGACAGCGAGCTGTCCCCGAGCCGTGTCCTCTGATGTCCCCAGACCGTCACCACGGGACTCCGATGCTCCTGGACGGGGTGCGCTGCGTGGGAGCCGAGCTGGAATACGACTCGGAGCAGAGCGAGTGGCACGGCTTCGACTGACCCCAAACCCCACCCCGGGGGACCCCAAAGTCCCCAAAGCACAGCACGGTCCCCAAAGAGGGCAGGGGGGACCCCGCTTGTTGCTGCTGCCGCTGCTTCGCCCTCACCCCGCAGCCCCGGGGGGGTTTTGGGGGAATTGTGCCTCTTGGGGTGGGAATTTTCCTCTTTTCTGGGGTGGGGGAGGAATTTTGCCTGTGGAATGTGGGGCAGGACTGGGGGTCCCCCATGGCTTCAGGGTTGGGGCCATGTCCCCTGGCCGTGTCCTTGTGTTGCTGCCAGCACCTCTTTTTGGGGTTTTTTTTTTTTCTGTTTTTATCAGATTTTTTCCTGGTTTTTATCTCTCTTTTCCTTTTTTTTTTTTTCCCCCTCATGGTACAAGGACCAGGAGCAGTTTCAGGAGGTTTTATGTGCCTACAAATATATATATATATATATATATATAAATACAAAGATATCTTACATGCCTGTGGGGGGGTTAAAGTACAAAATCCCACCTTGGGAAGGATGAAAATCCCACTGGGAATGGGCTGGGAGCCCAGATCCTCTCCATGAACCTGCCCAGAGGGACAATGGACACCCCTGGGTGGAGAATCCCCAAGAGTCCTGGATGGGGGATGGGGAGGGGTCATGAGGCCAATTCCAGTTAAAGCGGGGCTGGGACAGGGTGGGGACAGGACTGGGGTGCCCAGGATAAGGGGGGGTCTCAGTCTGGGAGGGAATCGATGGTGCCAGGTCCTGGCATGGTCCCCACAGTGACAGGAGGTCTCAGCTGGGGTGGAAATCCATGGTGGCATCTCCAGGAAGGTCTCAGTTGGTCAGGAAGTCTATGGTGGCAGGTCCCAGAGGTCCCCATGATGTTGGTGTGGTCTCAGCTGGAGATGAAGTTGATGGTGGCATCTCCCAAGGCCCCTCAGTTGGACAGGAAGTTGATGGTGGCAGGTGTGTCCCCACAATGACAGAGACTCTCAGTGGGACAGGATTCAGTGGTGGCAGATCCCAGGATGGCCTCAGCTGAAGATGAAGTCAGTGGTGGCATCTCCCAGTGGTCCCCACAATGGCAGTCCCAATGTTAGAGAGCCCGGCCAGGGTGGCAGGTCCTGGGGGTGTCCCCACAATAACAAAGGCATTGTGTCTCAGTTGGACAGGAAGTCCAAGGTGGCATTTCCAGGGCCCCTGAGTTGGACAGGAAGTTGATGGTAGCAGGTCCTGGGGTGTCCCCATGATGACAGAGGGTCTCAGTTGGAGATTAATTCAATAATGGAGTCACCAGGAAGGTCTCAGTTAGTCAGACCTGGGTAGTCTCAGTTGCACAGGAAGACAATGGTGGCATGTCCCAGGGTCCCCTCCATTGGACAGGAAGTTGATGGTGCCACATCACAGGGGCCTCTCAGTTGGATGGGAAGTCGATGGTGGCACATCCTGGGTAATCCCAGTTGGACAGGAAGTCAATGGTGGCACATCGCGGGGCCCCTCAGTTGGACAGGAAGTCGATGGTGGCAGATCCTGGGTAAGCCCCGTTGGACAGGAAGTCAATGGTGGCACATCGCGGGGCCCCTCAGTTGGACAGGAAGTCGATGGTGGCAGATCCTGGGTAAGCCCCGTTGGACAGGAAGTCAATGGTGGCACATCGCGGGGCCCCTCAGTTGGACAGGAAGTCGATGGTGGCAGATCCTGGGTAAGCCCCGTTGGACAGGAAGTCAATGGTGGCACATCCCGGGGCCCCTCAGTTGGACAGGAAGTCGATGGTGGCCCTCACGCTGCGCGCCGTGCGCGTGTCCAGCGCCGTCACCTTGATCTCGGTGTCCCCGAACTGCATGCTGGTGCGGATCTCACGCCGGCCCCGCGCCGGGCCCGCGTCCCCCGTGTCCCCCAGCTCCAGGCTGATGGTGCCGCACTTCCTGACGCCGGGGTCGGTGATGTACACCACGTCATCGGTGTCACAGCAGTAGATGTTGATGATGGTCCGGCGCTGGCCGGGCCGGGCCGGGCAGTAGCTCCGCTGGACCACCTCGCCCAACGCCACCGACTGGTCCACGGTCACGAACTTCTCGAAGATGTCGGTGCACCAGTTCTTGCCCTCCTTGACCAGCAGCTTCTCCCGCGGGTGCTTGCCCTCCACGAACTTGTTGAGGACGCCCACGCCGTAGGTGAGCGGGGAGCGGCGCACCCGCACCACGCCGGGGTCCAGGCCGAAGAGCACGGCCCCTTTGAGGATGGTCAGCCCCACGTCCTGCGGGACGATGACCCGGCAGCAGTGGCCGAAGGCGGCCTGCACCGCCCGCTGCAGCATGGCCGACTCGGCGAAGCCGCCCACCAGGAACAGGAATTTGATGCCGTGGACCTCGGGTTTCTTCAGGAGGGTGTCTGGAGCGGGGATAAAAGGGGAGGTTTGGGGTTGGGATGGTGGAGAAGGGGTGTGGGGAAGGGGTGGGGGTGATGGGGTGCCGGGGATGAGGGGAATCCAGGAATGGGAGCAGTTCCAGGGATGGAATGGGGCTGAGGGACAGGGAGGGTCCCAGGGACAAGGAGGGTTCCAGGGACAGGAAGGGTTTTAGGGATAAGAGGTTTCCAGGGACAATGGGAGTTACAGGGACAAAAGGTTTCCAGGCACAATGGGGGTTTCAGGGACAAGGGCTGGTCCTAGGGACAATGGGGATTCCAGGGACCAGGAATGGGGGATCCTAGGGACAAGGTGGGTTCCAGGGATGGAGGGGCTTCCAGAGACAGAGGTGGTCCCAGGGACAAAAGGGGTTCCAGGGACAGGGAAGGTGCCAGGGATGAAGGGGGGTCCCAGGCACAGGAGGGTCCCAGGGACAGGAGCAGGGTCACAGGGACAAAGGGGATCCCAGGGTGTGGGATTGTCCCAAGGATGGGGGAATTTCTCAGGCACGGGATGGTCCCAAGGGTGGGAGACTCATAGGGACAGGGATGGTCCCAGGGACAGGAATGATTCCAGGCATGAAGGGGCTCCCAGGAATGGGGGGCATCCCCCAGGGATGGGAATAATCCCAGGAATGGGGAGCTCCCAGTAACAGGGAAGATCCCAGGGATGGGGAGTGATCCCAGGGAGAGGGGGTGGGACAGGGACAGGGACAGGAACCATCCAGGTTCCCCATGGATGGGCATGTCCCCAGTACCCACCGATGTGCTGGATGATGTGGGTGATGGTTGGCTGGAACAGCTCGTTCATGGCCTCGGGGGACATCCGCAGCATCCCTTGGGATGACCACTTCACCAGGTTGACACTGGGGACAGACAGGGGACCCGGGGGTGACTGGGAACTCCCACCTGGTCCTTCCCTGTCCTCTCCCCTCCCACCCTCTCCTGCCTTTCCTCCCTCTTGTGCCCTCTCCCACCACAGTGTCACTCCCACCACGTCCCCATGATCCCGAGACGTCCCCAACCCGCGTCACCCCTCACTTGCTCTTGCGGAGCGCGGTCTCCACGTTGTGGCCGCGGTGTTTGCGGTAGAAGTCGATGAAGGAGAAGGGCAGGGAGATGTTGAGGGGGCTGGAGCGGCTCGGGGCGGCCGCGCGCTTCCGCGCCTCGAAGGCGATGGTCAGGTCCACCCAGGCCGCCGGACGCTTGGCCTTGAAGGTGGCAATGAAATCGTCCCCGAAGATGTGGCACAGAAGCTTCTCAAAGGCCAGGTCCACGCCCACAGCCCCATAGGGACCTCCTGAGGGACAAGGGTGGGATCAGGACGTGGCCCCGTGGTTGCCGTGTCCCCACGGCAGCCATGCCCCCCATCACCATGTTCTCCCACATCTCCGTGTCCGTATGTCCCGTAGACTCCCATGTCCCCATGTCCGCCATCCCCATGTCCCTGTGGCACACACACCCCCACATCCCCCATCCCCATGTCTCCGTGTCTCCTATGTCCCCCATCCTCATGTCCTCATGTCCCCCTTCACCATGTCCCCCATATCCTCCATGTCCCCATGTCCTCCATATCCTCCATGTCCTTCATCCCCACGTCCCTGTATCACCCACATCTCCATGTCCCATTCCCCATATCCCGAGGTCCCCACACATCCCTGTGGCACCCCTATCACCATGTCCCCATGTGCCCTATCCCAGTGTCCTGGTGACATCCATGTCCCCATGTCCCCCACACACCCCTGTCCCTCCATCCCAGCCCCTTGTCCCTCTGTCCCCCCTCACCCACCCTCGCCATCCTCCCTGCCCCACCTTGCCCCCCTAATCCACCCCTGTCCCTCCTTGTCCCCCCAGTCCATCCCTTCCCTCTGTCCCCCCGCGGTCCCCCTGCACTTCCCCCCGCCGCCACCAGGTGGCGCCACAGCCTCACCCACGACCCTTTGGTCGTGGGATTTGGGGTCCCAGTCCGGGTTTGGGGTCACAGCCTAGTTTTGGGGTCCCGGGAGGATCCCGGAGCGCGGGAAGAAAGGATGAACAGGGATTTTCATCCCACCCGAGGCTTTGTAGAGCTCCTTCAGCGTCCCCTGCGGCTTCTCGATCTGGTGCACGGTCAAATCCACCGTGCCCCCGCCGCAATCGGCCACGATGTACCTGTCACCTGCGGGGGGGACAGCGACAGGGTGGCGGTCCTGTGTGACCCCCCCGCCACACCCACGCGCGGGGTCGCAGCAGCCGCGGGGACACAGCGCTGCGTTTTCCCGGGGAAAAGGAAATTTTAACCAAAATATTGGGAATTGGGGTGGGTGGAGAGAGGAAGGGATGGGGTGGTGGCAGGGAGACCCCGCCCCTTCCGTGCGGTCAAGGGACAGACCCCAAGAGTGTCACCCCCATGGCAGGAGCACCCTTGGGTTCTTGGGGGTGGCTCTGCCACGAAGGGGACATCCAGAGGGACCCCGGGATCTGGGAATCTCCAGTGGGGACCCCCACCCGTGTCCCCCACCTCGTACCTGCCTGCATCTCCGACCAGAGCTCGCCCACTCCCGACTCCACCAGGAAGGTGCGGCTGTGCCGGGATCGCCGGAGCTGCTCCCGGGCTGGGGGACAGAGCCGGGGGTCGGCAGCGGGGTCAGGATCCCCCCCATATCCATGGGATCCACCCCACCTCAATGGGATCCACCCCATTACCCAGGATCCACCACATTCCCGTGGTGGGGTCCGTACTGGGAGCACTGGTGACCTCTCCCCTCCAGCCAGGACCCCAATGTGCCCAGCTCCAGCATGGATGGGCTGATCCAGCTCTCCCTGCTGCGATCCCAAAGGATCCCACCAGCTCCCATGGGATCACCCTGTGCCCACCCTGGGCGATGCCACCTCCGGCCCGCACCCCACAGCCCGGGTGGGGTTTCCTCTGCTCCCCCCGTCCCAGGGACATCAAAGCTGCCCGGAAGGGCCGGGATGAGTTGGGAAAGGTGGGGTTGTCCCGGGATATTTTTGGCACAGGGATAATTCCTCTTCCTTGGGGTCAGCTTGAGCAACCCTATAAATCCCCCATGGGACCCCAAATCTCCATCTGGGATTGCCACTAGCGCCTCCCAGTTCCGGGGTTTGGTCCCTGCTGGGCAAACTGGGGCTGTCCCAGTAAAGCCCAGGATCCCACCCATGGGGGGACTGTCCCTGGAGGTGGCCCAGGGACATGGGGTGGTGGCCAAGGCGGCCGGAGGGGGACACAGCTTGGAGGCTTATAGGAAAGCAGGAAAAAATGCCCTGGGTTTGGGGAGGGGGGAATGGGGTCTCAGGGAATGGGATTTCTGGGGACAGGGGGGATCTGGGAATGGGGTTTCTGGGAATGGGAGGTCTCTGGGAATGAGGGGATCTGGGAATGGGGTTTCTGGGAATGGGGTCTCTGGGAATGGGAGGTCTCTGGGAGTGAGTGGGTCTGGGAATGAGTGGTCTCTGGGGATGGGGATCTCTGGGAATGGGAAGTTTCTGGGAATGGGAGGGTCTCTGGGAAGGGGGTTTCTGGCAATGGAGGGGATCTCTGGGGACAGGGAACTCTCTGCTGTGAACCTCAGCTTGCGGGGCAGCAGGACATCCCCCAGTGGGGCAGGGGACACCCCATATGGGGACAGGGTGTCTCTGGGGACAGGGAACTCTCTGCGAATGGGGTCTCCAGGGACATCCCCAGCCATGGCAGCTGATGGACATTCCAGACCTGGCATGCAGGGCTGGATCCCATTCCCTGCTCCTCCAGCCCCCGGCCCTATCCCGACCCCATTCCCTGCTCCTCCAGCCCCCGGCCCTATCCCGACCCCATTCCCTGCTCCTCCAGCCCCCGGCCCTATCCCGACCCCCTTCCCTGCGCCCCTCACCCTGCCGGAAGCTGGAGTCGATGGGGTGGGGGGGCTCGGCCCCGTTGGCCGGGGGCCGGCAGCTCAGCTCGATCAGTTGGTGCAGCCGCAGCTTCCGGCAGTAAATGGAGGCGGCCTCGGGCTCCAGCGCGATCAGCAGCTGCTCCGGCGTCTCCGGGGACACCAGCCCGGCCTGCGGGGACACGCGGTGACAGGGCGGGGAGGGGACGGGACTGCGGGTTCCCGGGTGTGTCCCCAGCCCCTTGGTGCTCACACGGATCTGGAATGTGACAGGGCGGGGAGGGGACACGGGACTGCGGGTTCCCGGGTGTGTCCCCAGCCCCTTGGTGCTCACACGGATCTGGAATTGTGGAATGCGGGAGGACCCAACACTTGCCAGTATCTGAATATTCACCCAAAAACTCAACTGACCAATCAACCGCCCAGCCTGTGACCCAACAGCTCAACCAACGGCCCAAGCACGCAGCTGACCACCCGAGCACTCAACCTGCCATAAATCCACCCAACCGCCCAACCAACCATCCAACCAACCACCCGACCAACCAATGACCTCACCACCCAACCAACCCTCCAACCAACCGCCCAGCCAATGACCTCACCACCCAACCAACCCTCCAACCAACCGCCCAGCCAATGACCTCACCACCCAACCAACCCTCCAACCAACCGCCCAGCCAATGACCTCACCACCCAACCAACCCTCCAACCAACCGCCCAGCCAATGACCTCACCACCCAACCAACCCTCCAACCAACCGCCCAGCCAATGACCTCACCACCCAACCAACCCTCCAACCAACCGCCCAGCCAATGACCTCACCACCCAACCAACCCTCCAACCAACCGCCCAGCCAATGACCTGACCACCAAACCAACCATGTAACCAACCACCTGACCAACCAATGACCTCACCACCCAACCAACCATCCAACCAACCAACCAATGACCTCACCACCCAGCCAACCATCCAACCAACCAAACAACGACCACACTAACCAACCAACCATCCAACCACTCACCCAACCAACCAATGACCTCACAACCCAGCCAACCATCCAACCAACCAAACAACGACCACACTAACCAACCAACCATCCAACCACTCACCCAACCAACCAATGACCTCTCTGCCCAAATAATCATCCAACCAACCACACAACCAATGACCTCGCTACCAAACCAGCCACCAAACCAACTACCTGACCATCAAACCAACCATTCAGCCAACCACCCAACCAATGACTTGACCACCAAACCAGCCATCCAACCAACCACCCAACCAACCAACAACCTCACCACCTAACCTACCACCCAACCAATGACCTGACCACCAAACCCAACCACTCACCAACCAACCAACCAACCAACCAACCAACCAACCAACCACAGAACCAACAGCCTGACCACCAAACCAACCGCACAACCAACCATCCAACCACCTGATCACCCAACCAATGACCTGACCACCCAACCAATCACCCAAGCAACCACCCAACCAATCAACTGCTCAATCCTCCAACCACTCAATCAATGACCCAGAAACCAATGAAACAACCAATGTCCTGAACACCAAACCAAGCACTCAACCGACCAACCAACAGCTCAACCAATGACCCAATCACCAAACCAGTCACGCAACCAATGGTCAAACTGCTCAGCCAGCCACCCAACCAACCTCCCAACCAATGACCCACTCATTCAACCAAGCAACTGCTCAACCAACACACTGACCAACAACCCAACCACTCAACCAGACAACTGCTCAACCAATGACCTGAGCACCAAACCAACCACCCAACCACTGAACAATTCAACCAACCACCCAGCCATCCACTTAAACACCTACCTGGCAAATTATCCACCCGCTCACCCAACAGCTTTTGGTTGGTTTTGGTTAGAAGGACCTTAAATCTGATCCCACTCCCACCCCATCCATGGCAAGGACACCTCCCATTATCCCAGGTGGATCTAACCCCAATAACCTGGCCTTGGACACTGCCAGGAATCCAGGGGCAGCCACAGCTGCTCTGGGAATTCCAGCCCAGCCCCTCCACACCCTCCCAGCCAGGAATTCCCTCCAAATATCCCACCTAACGCTACCCTCTGGCAGTGGGAATTCAGTTTGAGGGAGGAAGGGGATACCCCATAGACCACAACCCCTGTGAGGGTCACCACATGGTCACCCTCCAGAGTCTCCCACACCTTGTAGGCTGCTTCCCGCATGAACTGCTTGGCCGGCTGCTTCCAGATGGCCGGCACGGTGAGGACCCAGCGGATGGCATCGTTCTCGGGCAGTGATGGGCACTGGTCCTTCAGCTCCTGCCAGGGGACAAGCAGGAGGTGACACTTGGGGGCTCCCAGTGAATCATGGAATGGTTTGGGTTGGGAGGGACCTTAAATCCCATCCTGTCCCACCCAGGGACACCTCCCACTATCCCAGGTCACTCCAAACACCAATGTCCAACCCGGGTTTTGACACTTCAAGGGATAGGGCAGCCACAGCAAATCTGGGAATTCCATTCCAGGGCCTCCCCACCCTCACACGGAATGCACGGAGAGGACACAGAGGATTCCATTTGGGAAGGAGGAGGAGGGTGGAGGTGGCCCCACCTGCACCGCGTGCTGCTTGAAGAAGCGCAGCGAGTGGGCGAACACCTCCAGCGCCGGCATCTTCTTCCCATTGACAGCTTCCAGCTCGGTTTTCATGGTCAGATCCTGCCAGGAACAGCAAATGGATCACACTGGGGACTGGGAGGTGGCCAGATCCATCACCAAACCTCAGAAATTTGCTCAGGCACCTGAAGCTTTGTGCAGCCACATCCACCCACCCTGGAGCAGCTCAGATGGGAGAACCTCAAATTCACCCCCTAACATGGGCTAAAATGGGTTTTTCCCCAACATTTCAATTCCCAGTCTGCCCAGGATCCCCCTGAGAACACCAGGAACACCAGGATGAGAGCAGGGACTCACGCTGGTGCTGTGGATCTTCATCTTAAACTTCTCGAAGTAAAACCACTCGCGGGCCTCCTCGGGGTCCAGGTCGTGGTAGTAATCGCGGGCGGTGTAGCCGAAGCTGTGGAATATCCCCTCCGGGGTCAGCAGGAGGCTGGTGGGGGTCTTCTGGTTGGCCACGCCCGGGTCCCCCCCCTCCCATTTCCTGCAAAGAGGAGCCGGAGTAGATGAACTTCCAGGGAATGGGTCCTGCCAGGTCTGGTTTGTTTCTGTGGGCGTGGTCTGAAGGACCTTAAAGGGGGACAAAGGAGGAGGGGTGATCCCGCTCCATCCTCCAAGGAATTTAGTGGAGTTCCAGACTAGTTTGGGTTGGGAGGGACCTGGAAGACCACTGAGTGCCACCCCCTGCCATGGCAGGGATCGTTCCACTATTCCAGGCGGCTCCAAGTCCATCCAGCCTGGCCTTGGACACTACCAGGGATCCAGGGGCAGCCACAGCAAATCTGGGAATTCCAGCCCAGCCAGGAATTCCTTGCCAAGATCCCAGCCCCTTTGCCAGTGGGAGCCATTCCCTGTGTCCTGATCCCCCATCCCTTGTCCCCAGTCCCTCTGCAGCTCTCCTGGAGCCCCTTCAGGGACTCTGAGCATTCCCTGGAATTTTCCCTTCTCCAGGGGAACATTCCCAGCTCTCCCAGCCTGACTCCAGAGCAAAGGTTCTCCAGCCCTTGGAGTATCCTCACCCCACACCTTCCAAACACTGCTGCCAGGAACCATCTCTCACCAACCCAACTTCTGAGCATTTTGGGGCCATAAAAGTCCTTTCCCAGCTCCGGAGGCTCTGGCAGCTCCTCACCTCATCATGTGGATGGCCTCGGGATCGCTGGTGAAGCTGAAGGCGTAACCGCTGGACGTGGTGCCGAAGTCGATGGCCACCACCACGGAGAAGGACGGGGCCTGCTGGGAACGCGCCTCGCTCCGCTGGAAGGCAAGGAATGCGATCAGGCACTCAGTTGGGACTGGGGGATTCCAGAAAAGCAGTAAAAAACCCAGGAACTCGTTCATTTTCCCAGGATTTTTCCTGGATTTTCACCCAATTTGGTGATTTCCTGATGGGTGATTCTTCTTCTTACACATATTCACTCATTGGGAAAAGTGTCTCCCATATTCCATGGGGTGGCTGAGGTCATTCCCAAAGGCAGTTCCCATGGGACACAGGGATTTGGGCAGCCCTGGAGAGGGATGGATGCCCATGGGAGCAGCCAGGGTTGTTGGGGGCTCCTGTTTTTATTGTGCTGAGCCCCGCTCACCTGGACCCTGAAATTGGAGCCAAGATTCCCAAAAACTTTCCCTGTGTCTGGGCTCAGTCCAAGGGACCTTGTCCCCGGTGTCCCCAAGGGTCACTAAACCCAAACCATTCCCTGCTTTCCATCTTGGATGAGGTGACATCATCCCAGGTGTCCCCAGGTGTCACCCAGCTGAAAATCCCCCTGGCCCACAGGAGCCAAGATTCCCAAAAACTTTCCCTGTGTCTGGGCTCAGTCCAAGGGACCTTGTCCCCGGTGTCCCCAAGGGTCACTAAACCCAAACCATTCCCTGCTTTCCATCTTGGATGAGGTGACATCATCCCAGGTGACCCCAGGGTCACCCAGCTGAAAACCTTCCCTGTGTCCAATCTCACATTGTCCCAGGTGTCCCCAGGTGTCATCCAGCTGAAAATCCCCCTGGCCCACGCATTTTGGGACGTTCCCACTGCTGCTCCCACACTTTTCCTGTCCCCACTCCGTGTCCCTTCCCTCCAGGGCTGTCCCCGAGCCAAAGAAGCCGTAAGGATGTGACAAGGCCCTGTCCCCATGTCACCACGGGAAGCTGAAAGCCTCGTTAACTTGTAATGTGCCCAGATTTGATAAGTGAGGACACGAACTGGCCGGGAAAAATGCCGGGATCAGCAGGGAAGAGGCAGCTGGCGCAGGAATGTGCAGGGACAAGGAACTCCAGGGAGGATCTGGCTCTGGAACGCGGCCTCCCACACCCGGTGGGCCCGGGTGAGGGCAGGAGTTTTGTGGGGTTAAACTCTTCCTGGTGGGTCATTCCAGAGCTGGAAAACCCCTCCATCCCAAAAATCCCATGGGTAGAGGTCCTGGGGATAGACTGACCCATCCTGTGGGACTGGGGGGTGGAGGCTGGACTGGGAGGGGAGGGGGAGCTGGGGAAGGATCAGAGGAAAGGATAGGGGGACAGATCCCAGTGGTCTTACTGAGACCCCACAGTGGTCTTACTGGGAACTCCATAACAGCCTTACTGGGATCTCCCAACAGCCTTACTGGAAATGGCACAATGGCCATACGGGACTCCACAACTGCCTTACTGGGAATGCCATAATGGCCTAACTGGGAAAACCACAATTGCCTTACTGGAGACCCCACAACTGCTTTGCTGCAGACCCCATAGTGACCTCACTGGGAACCCCATAAAGGCCTTACTGAAAATCCCACAAAGGCTTTATTTGGGACCCCAAAACTGCTTTAGTGTGGACCCCACACTGGCCCTGCTGTGAAACCCTCAATGACCTTGTTGGAGACCCCACAACAGCCTCAGTGGGAACCCCAAAACTGCCTTATTGAAACCGCAGAACTACCTGACTGGGGATCCCAAAACTACCTTACTGAGACCCCAAAACTGCCTCACTGAGGACCCCACAAAGGCTTTACTGGGGATCCCAAAGTTCCCTTACTGGGATCTCACATTGGCCTTACTGGGGACCCCAAAATTGTCTTACCAGGACCCCACCGTGGTCTTATTGGGGAGCCCAAAAGGGCCTCACTGGTGATCCCAAAACTGCCTTACTGGGACCTCATAGTGGTGTTACCGGGACCCCAAAACTGCCTTACTGGGACCACTCACTGGTCTTACTGTGACCCCACTATGGCCTTACTGGGAACTTCATAATGGTCTTACTGGGGACCCCACTGTGGCCTTACTGAGACCCCAAACTGCCTTACTGGGAACCCCACTGTGGCCTTGCTGGGACCCCACAATGACCTTACTGGGAACCCTACAATGGCCATACAGCGATTTCATAACAACCCTACTGGGAACCCCATAATGGCCTTACTGGGAGCCCCATAATCACCTTACTGAGTCCCCAAATTGCCTTACTGGGAAGCCCACAATGGCCTTACTGGGAACCCCATAATGGCCTTACTGGGAGACCCCAAATCTGCCTTACTGGGAACCCCAGAATGGCCTTACTGGGACCCCATATCTGCCTTACTGGGAACCCCGTAATGGCCTTACTGGGACCCCATAATGACCTTACTGGGACCCCATAATGACCTTACTGGGAACCCCATAATGGCCTTACTGGGAACCCATAATTACCTTACTGGGAACCCCATAATGGCCTTACTGGGAACCCCATAATGGCCTTACTGGGAACCCCAGAATGGCCTTACTGGGACCCCATATCTGCCTTACTGGGAACCCCGTAATGGCCTTACTGGGACCCCATAATGGCCTTTCTGGGAACCCCATAATGGCCTTACTGGGGCCCCATAATGGCCTCACTGGGAACCCCATAATGGCCTTACTGGGGCCCCATAATGGCCTCACTGGGAACCCCATAATGGCCTTACTGGGACACCAAACTGCCTTACTGGGAATGCCATAATGGCCTTACTGGGACCCCATAATGGCCTTACTGGGAGGCCCCAAATCTGCCTTACTGGGAACCCTATTATGACCTTACTGGGACCCCATAATGGCCTTACTGGGAGACCCCAAATCGCCTTACTGGGAACCCCATAATGGCCTTACTAGGACCCTAAACTGCCTTACTGGGGACTCCATAATGGCCTTACTGGGACACCAAATCTGCCTTACTGGGAACCCCATAATGGTCTTAGTGGGAACTCCATATTGACCATACTGGGAACCCCAAAACTGCCTTACTGGGAACCCCATATTGGCCACACTGGGAACCCCAAAACTGCCTTACTGGGAACCCCAGAACGGCCTTACTGGGACCACACACTGGGGCCCATAATGGCCTTCCCGGGACCCCAAACTGCCTTACTGGGAACCCCATAATGGCCTTACTGGGAACCCCAGAATGGCCTTACTGGGACCCCATAATGGCCTTACTGGGAACCCCAGAATGGCCTTACTGGGACCCCATAATGGCCTTACTGGGAACCCCAGAATGGCCTTACTGGGCCCCCAAACTGCCTTACTGGTCCCGCCATGATCCCACTGGTCCCGCACTCACCGGTGACTGGGACGGCGTCAGGGGGGCGATGCTGCAGCTGTCGTGGGGTGTCCCCGGGGAGCCGGGCGGGGACGGTGTCGGGCACCGCTCGCCGTTGGCACCTGGGGACACGGACAGGAGAGTCTGGGGGACCCCAACGTCCCCTCCCCAAGGAGAGACCACCCGGGACATCCCGATGGAGACGGATCCACGTGGGAAGGGATCCCAGCCCTTCCCAAATCCTTCCCCAAAGGGGAGACCACCCGGGACATCCCGATGGAGACAGATCCACGTGGGAAGGGATCCCAGGCCTTTCCAAATCCTTCCCTCAAGGAAAGACCACCCAAGACACCCAGATGGAGATGGATCTGGGTAGGAAAGGATCCCAGACCTCCCCAAATTCTTCCCCAAGGAGAGACCACCTGGGACATCCCGATGGAGATGGATCTGGGGTGGATGTGATGTTGGAGGGGACAGAGTCACTGTGAGGTCTCCAGAAGTGGAGTTCATAAAATCATGGAATTGTGGGATGGTTGGAATTGGGAAGGTCCCTAAATCCCATCCAGTGCCACTCCACCCATGGGCAGAGACACCTTCCGTTATCCCAGGTGGATCCAACACGGCCTTGGACAATTCCAGGGATGTATCCAAGAGGACACTTCCAGGAGAAGCTGCTCCAGCCAGCAGCTGGAAGGTTTGGATTCAGTAGGAATGGGGGAAAACTTGGAAAGAAGGAAAGGAAGTGTCTGTGGTTCAAATCCATGGAGAACCAGTGAGGGAGGGTGGGTCCAGCTCAGACCCTCAGCCACGCTCCAGAACATCCCGGTTTTCTGGAGACCCTGGAAGCTCCTGCACGAGCCCATAATCCCAAAATCTGGGGGTGGGGATCATGAGCACAGCAGATTTTCCCTCCTCCTCTTCCTCCTCCTTGAGCCACCACCCATCTCTATCCCCTCCAGCAGCAGAATTCCAGCCCCGGGGACCCCCGATGATCCCAGAACCGGGATGTGGTGAGCCCCACACCGGGGACACGGGGCTGTCCCGCCCACGCTGCCCCGGGCGCCTGGCTCCAATTAGCAGCCGGTATTAATTAATCACCGCCCACGAAAGAGCCGCTGGAGCAGCTCCAGCTGGAAGGGGAGCTGACAGAGCGGCTTTCCCAAGGGATTGGGACGGGATAAAGTGTTGGGAATGGGGTGTGAGGTCCGGGCAGTGACACAGGCGAGGTGAAGGGACTGTCGGCCCTAAAACCTGTGCTTTGGGATTGCCGATCCTGCCGGGATCCTGCTGGGATCCAGCTGAGATCCTGCTGGGATCGGGGCCGTTCCTGCCGGAATCAGAGCCGTGGGAGCAGGGATGAGCAGTGCCCATCCCCAGCCGGGCTCTGGAGAGATTTGGGAACGGAGGAGGCTCCGTGGTTGGAGAGATTCGGGAACAGAGGAGGCTCCGTGGTTGGAGAGATTCGGGAACAGAGGAGGCTCCATGATTGGAGAGATTTGGGAGCAGCAAAGGAACCTCCGGGAAGAACAAAACTCCTTCTCCCCTTCGCTGGTGTCCGGACAAACCCACCCTGGCTCCCAGTGCCACCAGTTTGCCCTGGAACAGCCACTGGGACACCCTTGGGAAGCTCAGGAGCCCTAAGGAATGCTCTGGGATCCCCCAACAGCGGCAGCCATGGGATTGGGATTGGGATTGGGATTGGTTTGATCCCAACTTTGTGTCTGGGCAAGAGCCACATCACAGAGTTGGGGACAGCGATTGCCGTGTCCCCCCACCCCGGGGCTGTGCTGGTGACACGTCTGCTGTCCCCTCCACCCGCTCCCTAAGTGCCTTTCCCTGTATCCGTGTCTGTCCCATAAATATTTGATCCCAGACAAATGGGAATGGTCTCTGCGCCGCCTCCGCGTGCGACAGAGCCGGGGGGAACGGTGACCCCCCCGGGGGCTCTGGAGAGCCTTGGACATGAAACCTCATTCCTGCGGAGAAGGATCGGGGTTGGGGGGGGGAATTCCTGCCGTGGCCTCCGCATTCCTGTGTTTGGGATGGCAGGATCAGGTGTGGGATGGTGGGATCAGGTTTGGGATGGCAGGATGGAGTTTGGGATGGCGGGATCAGGTTTGGGATGGAAGGATGGGATGGTGGGATCAGGTTTGGGATGGAAGGATGAGGTGTGGGATTGAAGAAGCGGGTTTGGGATAGTAGGATGAGGTTTGGGATGGCAGGCTCAGGTTTGAGGTGGCAGGATCGGGTTTGGGATGGCAGGATCAGGTTTGGGATGGCAGGATGGAGTTTGGGATGGCGGGATCAGGTTTGGGATGGCAGGATTGGGTTTGGGATGGCGGGATCGGGTTTGGGATGGGAGGATCAGGTTTGGGATGGCAGGATCAGGTTTGGGATGGCGGGATTGAGTTTGGGATGGCAGGATTGGGTTTGGGATAGCAGGATTGAGTTTGGGATGGCAGGATCAGGTTTGGGATGGCAGGATTGGGTTTGGGATGGCAGGATCAGGTTTGGGATGGCAGGATTGGGTTTGGGATGGCGGGATCAGGTTTGGGATGGCGGGATCAGGTTTGGGATGGCAGAATTGGGTTTGGGATGGCGGGATCAGGTTTGGGATGGCAGGATTGGGTTTGGGATGGCGGGATCAGGTTTGGGATGGCAGGATTGGGTTTGGGATGGCGGGATCAGGTTTGGGATGGCAGGATTGGGTTTGGGATGGCGGGATCAGGTTTGGGATGGCGGGATCAGGTTTCCTCCCACAGCTGGTTCTGGTTCCCCTGGCGCAGGAGCTGTGGAGGGGACACAGGGGGAACAGCAAGGGACCCGGACACAGAATGATCGTCTGGAGGGTCAGGGGACATCGCAGCCAGTGCCACCCCCTGGGGACATCCTTACCCATCCGCAGGCTCTGCATCCCGGGCTCCAGCAGCATCGCCATGGCCTCGCTGCCCGCCTGGAAAAGGAAGGGACAAAATCCATCCCTGTGTCCCCTCGGTGTCACCCCAGCCTTGACCCCCCCAAAAACCACACCAGGGATGAGGCTGGGATTTGTAGGGTTGGCAGGAGGGGACCCCAAATCCCAGCTCACAATGGGGTGTGGCCGTCCCAGTTTGGGGCACACGTGATTGTCACCATCCACGGTGTCACCTGCTGTCACAGCCACTGCGGGGACAGGGACCCGAGTTCCTGTCACCGAGCAGGCCGGACAGATGCGCAGGACACAGATGTGCAGGGTGGAATTCGCTGTTCCTGCACATTTTTACCCTCAACCAAAGCCCTTTTTTGGGGGGGCTCGTTTGGGAAAAATCCCAATTTATTTTCTGATCAAAGTGTGGTGGCCAAAGGGATCCTGGCTCTTCCCAGGGATTACAACCCGGCCTGGACCAGCTCCAAATCTGCTTCCCGGGATAACACCCCAGCTCCTGGCTCCCTTCCCGAGGCCACAGCCTCCCGCCACCCCCGAGCCCCCCAGCCCGCCCCGGCCGCTCTCATCCCACAAATCCAGAGGCTCGGGATAGGGCTGAGCTCATCGGGAGAGGCCTCACCGCCAGCCAAACCCACCCACGAGCTGCCGGCCCCGCAGCCTCCCCTCTTCCCAAAAAAATCCCCTCGGGATTCCAGCGGCAGGTGGGGAGGCTTTCCCTGGAATGGGGGGTCCTGCTCTGGCCACCCCGGAGCTGTGGGCAGGGAAGGCCATGCTGGTGGCCCTGGGGTGTCACACGGGGGGGTCCTGTGGGTGGTCCTGGGGTTTTTCTACCAAAATGGGGCTTTTCCACCAAAATGGGGCTTTCCAGGAGATTTTCCTGCAGGAAATCAGTCCCCAGCTCTGGGATTTGTGTCCTTTTCCAGCTGCCTGGGGCTCAGCTCATGGCTTTGGATGTGCAGGGATGTCCCCAGTGTCCCCAACCCCACGGCCTGAGGAACCAGAGGGACACGCCAGCCCTTGGTGGCTCCGTGCCTTCGTTCCCTGTCCCTCCTTGGCCATGCGGGGTCCAGGGGGTCACTCTGGGGTCTGTGCTGACCCTCAGGCTCCAAAATCCTCCTTCTCCAGGGCTGGCAGGGGGTGGCCGACAGCCACCTTTGTCCCCAAGGTGCCATTCCCCTCCCAGGCGAGGAGGGTGGGCGGCCTCAAGCCCCCGAGTGTCCCCCAGCCCCGGGCAGTGACCACGCCGTTGTCACCTAGGGCACAGGGACAAAGCCCCCGACCCTGGGGGTCCCTCCCGGGGCAGGATCCCGGTGGCTCCCGGGCTCCCTCCGGCCGGAGCAGCGATTTTGAGGATTTTCCACCATTTCCGTCTCTGCGGGGGCTCACGGAAACGGGGAAAGGAAACAAAGTTTGGGACGGGATCAGGGTGGAGCAGCCAGGAGCGACACCGGGGCTGTGGCACGGCCAAGAGTGACACGGGGACACCGCCTTGGCCGGGCATGGTGTCCCCACAACTCGGGGTGGCCCCACAACTCGGGGTGACCCCAGGGACACCTGGGAGGCTCAGGGCAGCTGTGGGGCTCTGATCCAGATGTGCTGGGACAGAAGCAGCTGTTTGTCCCCACATCCCCACTGTGCCAGGGCTGAGCGTGGCTGTGGCGTTGGGGACACCCCAAAAATCCTCCCGAGGAGCTGTTGGGGTTCCCTGGAGCCTTTCCCTGTCCCCTCGGCCATGGTTGGGACACAGGAGCCACCCAGGGTTGTCCCCTGCACGGTGCTGACACTTTGTGGCACTGTCCCTGTGATGTCCCCAGTGGTCCCAGCGGTGTCCCCCAGGACAGGGCACACGGGGACAGTGTCCGAGCGTCCATCCCCCCTCCCCCCGTGCCCACAGCCCCCCCATTCCCACTGGGACGAGGTCGTGGAGTCCTGGCACCCCCCGGTGTCCCCAAACCGGGCAGGGACCCCAGGGGCAGTGCCACCCTCACCTCGGCCAGGGGACAGGGCTGTCCCCCACGTCGCCACGCCTTGATGTCGCCCCTCTCCCGCCACCCCCGCCGGCCACTCACCGCTGTGGGGGGGGACACGGGCTGGGGACCCCTCGGTGCAGCCCCCGCTTTGTCACCCGGGCTGTGTCCCCCGGGCTGGTGGCTCCGGCCGCCCCCGCGGTGCCCGCGGCTCTGTCCCCGTCCTGCCCGCGGCTCTGTCCCCGCGGCTCTGTCCCCGTCGGGGCCCCGCGCAGCCCCCCGCGCTCCGGCTTCCTCCCACTCCCTGTCCCGGCCCAGGCAGCGCCTCAAATTGCAATTCCAGCTGCAGATGTGGGAGCGGGAGCGGCGGGAGGAGGAGGAGGAGGAGGAGGAGGAGGCAGGGCCAGCCCCAGTCCCGCCGGCAGCGGAACCTCCGCTCCCCGCCCGGCCACGGCCACCGAGGGGGGACAAGGGTCCCAAAGAGGACACGCCACCCCCAGACCCCCCCAGTGTCCCCTGAATTTGTGTAAATCGCCCTGCCGGGTTTGTCACTGCGCGTGTCCCGGGTCACATCGGCTCTGTCCCCACATCCAGCCCCATCCCGGCTCCAGAGCGCGGGGTTATCCCGGGATTCTCCTCCCCGGGGTCGTTCCCATTCCCAAAGGGGGATCCTGGGTCCGGGAAGCAGATTCGGGGTGTCCCAGGTGTGGGATCTGATCCGGGAATCCCAGATTTGGGATCAGAGCTGGGAGATCCCAGATTTGGGATCCAGATTTGGGATCAGATCTGTGAGATCCCAAGGGAAGGACGCACACAAAGGGTGTGTCCTGTCGTTCCCAAAAACTTCCACAATGGGAAGAATCCCCCCGTGGGAGCCTCAAAAGCACGGGCACAACATTGGGATTGTTCCCATAATGGAGATATCTGGGATCACGGAGTTGAGGTAGTCGGGAACGCTGAGATAATTGGGATGGTTGAGATAATTGGGATCATTTGGATCATTAGGGTCACTGAGATTGTTGGGATCGCTGAGATAATTTGGATTGTTTAAATTATTAGGATGACTGAGATAATTGGGGTCACTGACCGACACTGGGATCCGTGAGACCTTTGGGAACGTTGGGAAAATTGGGATAATTTGGGTCACTGAGATTGTTGGGATCATTTGGCTCATTGAGATCATTGGGGGTTTGGGATCATTCGGGGCTGGGATCATTTTGTTTGTTGGGATCACCGGGATCATTGGGATCAAGGTCAGGAAGGCCCTGGCTGGGAATGCAGTGGCCTGGAGCGGGATGTGCCAGCTGTGACCACGGGGGTGACACCGGTGGGGGACACTGGGGAGGGGACAAAGGGTCACCTCCTGAGCCAGGGGACCTCCAAACCCCGAAGGGGACAGGCGGGGGATGTCGGAGCGGCATTTGGGATTATCCTGGGGCCGTACGGGAATTTCTGGGGGTCCAGCCCCCCCAGCCCTGCCTGGCACCGCTGCCCCGGAGCCGGGGAAGGTTCTGGAGTGGGGGGGGACAGGGACAAGAGCGGGGGCTCCGCCCGTGTTTGCGTCCCTGGCGCCCCGACAGGGATGAGGTAGCGCTTTCCGGGAATTGAGGCCCGGCCCATGGAAATGCCGCGGGGACAGGAAACCCGGGATGAGGACGGAGAACCGGGGCTGGAAGCGAGGCCGGAGCCCAGCCCGGAGCCACAGCCGGTGGGGACAGCGATGTCCCCCAGCAGGGCATGGCGGTGGCATCACGTCCCCAAGCGGGGAGCTGGGGACAGGATGAGGACAGCCCCTCTCCTCCTGCCCAGTGCTCCCAGCTTGCTCCTTCCCGGCTTTTCTGGGGACAAACTGGGCCTTCCTGGGCAGGGACCTGCAGCGGGTTGAGGGGAATCTTCATCATCATCATCATCGTCATCATCATCATCCCCCCACCGTCAGCTTCACCCCCATCCCGGGTGTCCCGCACGGATAAACCGGGATGAGGGACATTGTCCCCACCACACCGAGGTGACCCCAAGGCCGAGGGGACCCCGCGGGGAGGGGGCGCAGCCCCCCGCCCCTCCCCTCTCCCGGAGCTGCGGGATCAGGGCTGGATCCCACCCAGCCTGGGAAGGGCTGGATCGCTTCCTTCCCCCGCCCCGCCAAGGGCACGGCGCCCGCGGGGACGCGGTGCCAGCCGGGGGTGGGGGACGAAGCGGTGCCACCCGAATTCCCAAATTCCCGGCGGCCATCCCATCCCAAAGCTGCGACTGCCACACCCCCGGGGTCCCTCCGCTGTCCCCTCCACACCTCGCAGGGGGATTTGGGGGATTTTGGGGTCGGAAAGCCCCGGGAGCCCCCGGAAAGCCCCGAGCTCGGGGGCACCCGCGGGCACCGTGCCTCAGTTTCCCTTCAGGGCGCACCAGCTCTGGAGAGCACACGCGTGTTCCTGCACACGCGTGAGGACCTGCACGCTCAGAACAGCCCAGGGAGCTCTTGCACACGCGTGCTCCTGCAGAAACAGCCCATGACCTCGCACACACACACATGTGTGCACACACTCCATGTGCACACACACGCCTGCACACATGCACACACAGCCTTTCACACACACTCCGTGCGCACACACTCCCGTTCACACATTTCGTGTGTGCACACATGCATGCACACACACACCCACGTGTGCACACCCACTCACACTCTGTGTGCACACACACACAAATACAAACACGTGCACACACACACACAAATACACACACACAAATACACACACGTGCACACACACACCCGTGTGCACACCCACTCACACACTCCTTGTGCACACACACACAAATACACACACATGTGCACACCCATTCACACGCACACAAATACACACACACACATGCACACCCGTTCACACACACACACACAAATATACACACACCTATTCACACACACATGCACACACACACCCCAATGTGCACACTCACTCACACACTCCATGTGCACACACACACAAATACACACACACATGTGCACACCCGTTCACACACACACACACAAATACACACACACATGTGCACACCCATTCACACGCACACAAATACACACACACCTATTCACACACACATGCACACACACACCCGTGTGCACACCCACTCACAAACTCCATGTGCACACACACACAAATACACACACACATGTGCACACCCATTCACACGCACACAAATACACACACACACATGCACACCCGTTCACACACACACACACAAATATACACACACCTATTCACACACACATGCACACACACACCCCAATGTGCACACTCACTCACACACTCCATGTGCACACACACACAAATAAAAACACACATGTGCACACCCATTCACACACACACAAATACACACACACATGTGCACACCCATTCCCACGCACACAAATACACACACATGCACACTCGTTCACACACACACATACAAATACACACACACCTATTCACACACACATGCACACACACACCCCCGTGTGCACACCCACTCACACAATCCATCATGTGCACACCCCCCCCGTTTGTGCACACACACACTGTGCACACGTATGTGTTCACATGAACACCGTGAGCTCACACACACACACACGTGTGCACACAGGTGTACATACACCCCATGTGCACACAGTGCACGCACACACACGGACACCACAGCCATGTGCACACACACACACATGCACACACGTGTACATACACCCCGTGTGCACACACAGTGCGCACACACACACATGGACACCCCAGCCATATGCACACACACATGTGCACACATGTGTTCACATGAACGCCATGAGCAAACACACATGCACACACACACACACACACACACACATGTACATACACCCACAGACATGCATCACACACACACACACACATGTGCACACACCCACAGACACGCATCGCACGCATCACACACACACACGTGTGCACCCATGAGCACACCCACCACGTTCACACCCACGTGCACACACACCTCCACCCTTCCCCTCATGGTGCCCCCCCGTCCCCTCCGGCATGTCGCTGGCTGTGCCATGGTGTCCCCCTGTCCCCGTGTCCCCTCTCGGGGTGTCCCTGGCTGTGCCATGGTGTCCCCCTGTCCCCGTGTCCCCTCCCGGGTGTCCCTGGCTGTGCCATGGTGTCCCTCCATCCCATGTCCCCTCTCGGGGTGTCCCTGGCTGTGCCATGGTGTCCCTCTGTCCCCCTGCCCCCTCCCGGCTGTCCCTAGCCATGCCATGGTGTCCCCCAGCACCCCCTGTCCCCCTGCCCCCTCCCGGCTGTCCCTAGCCATGCCATGGTGTCCCCCTGTCCCCGTGTCCCCTCCCGGCTGTCCCTGGCTGTGCCATGGTGTCCCTCTGTCCCCGTGTCCCCTCCCGGGTGTCCCTGGCTGTGCCATGGTGTCCCCCTGTCCCCCTGTCCCCTCCCGGCTGTCCCTAGCAATGCCATGGTTCCCCCTGTCCCCGTGTCCCCCCTCGGGTGTCCCTGACCATGCCATTCCCCTCCTGAGGAAGAGGAGGGTGAGGGTGAGGAGGAGGCAGCTGCGAACCATTACCGAGCGGCGGGGGCTGCTCCGGGGGCTGCTCCGGGGGTCCCGCCGGGCTCCCCCCGCTCCAGAGGCCCTTCCCAGCCCCGGGTCAGCCGGAGTTCTCCGGGAAAGGAAAACAAACCGCGAGGGGCACGGAACGGGGGGGCTGCAGCGGCGCTGCCTCGGTGGGGTCCCCAGCGGGGGGAATTGGGGTCCCCAGGGCCCCCTCGCCGTGCCCAGCTGTGCCCAGGTGTGTCTCCACGGTGACAGTCACCACCCCGCTGGCCCTGAGTCACCAAAGCCACCCCTGGGACCCTTCCCTCCACCAGGAGCTGGGATTTGGGAACGGAGGAGCCAGGACAGCTCGGAACGGGGGCTGCGTCCTGGAAATTATTTTCCACAGGGATTTTTGTGACTTCTTGTGAGGGGTTAAATCCAGAAATTCCCGTCCTGGAGATGAGGGAGGGAAAAGCGACTCCCACCCTGTCTGGGATCTGTCCCCATTGTCCCACTGTGGCATTGCCACCCCACGGCAGCGTTCCCGTTCCCCACATATCCCACTATCCCAAGCGTTCCCTGTCCCCCTGCTTCTCCCACCCTCTGGAGCACTCCAAACTCTGGGATCCCTCCAGCTGGATGTGGCCAGAGGGATTTGGGGAGCCGGGAATTCCCCAGGATCTCTCAGCCCCCCTCAGCCCCCGGCCCCAGCCACTCCTTGGGGAGGAAAACTGAGGATTTGGGAAGAAAAGAGCTCTTCCATTCCCCCGCATCCCTGCGGCAGGAAAAGGGGGGCTCCCGCCGCCTCCAGCT